GGAACCTATAACCAGATTAGGTTTTTTGATATATGGGTTAATAGAAAAGATTGCGTAATTACCGGAAGCACAGGAGTTGGAAAAACTTCTCAAGTTCCAAAAATATTCTTTTGGTACAATTTTCTATTCGGAGGTTATGATTTTAATCTATCGAGTGTCGATCTTGACAATTTTAACAAAAAACAAAACTATGATAATATTTCAAGAAAGGCTTTAATTGTGTCAAATGGAGAAAATTTCTTGAGAAGTTTAGGTTATAGATCAGAGAGTAACATAATAATAGAAAATAGTCCTGTAACTATGAACTTCAAGAATGTTTCAAATACTATATATTACAATAAAACCCCCAAAGCGTCGAATTAAATTTCTGTATCAACAGAATAGCCGCGTCGATCAAATTGAACGACGACAGATTGGCGTCGGTGTTCGTCGACGAGATACACGAACACGAAACATTTTCCGATATATGTATAACGATCCTCAGGAATCAAAGAAAAAGATACAATAATATAATACTTATGAGTGCTACTATAGACGAAGATGAGGTGATACGTTAAAATACATTTATAACTTTGTTTTTCATGTCTTCGGGACTTGTTGGTTTAATAAAAATAATCAATATTTCTTTTATCCGTGGATTATTGTTGAAGAAATGTTCTTTAGACATAACATTGCTTATAGTGTGATTATAGGGTAGGTCATGATACTTCTGCGGTAGCCATATCTTTTACGTTATTATTATTAACTGAGCACAAAGATGTTCAAGTTCTTTTTGACGCTTCAATCTTAACGCTTTGTCCACATCATTCTTAAAAAAGCTGGCGATGATGCCCCGTTGATTCATGAGTTCTTTCCATACGCCGTATGATAGACGTAGCTCCTTGCCATGATTGTCACCGAGAGCGATTTCCACACGGCTCGGCGTTGAGACGTTGTCATTCCGTTGACATTCCGATGTCGAGATACTTGTACCCAGTCTTCGTCAAATAGTATCTTCTAGCCAAGATCCTAGATGATTCTTTTTCCATCTTTGGTGAATTACTTTTTTGTTTTCCGTGAAAAAAGAAATTGTGAGTTTAAAAGTATAACAATTATAATAAATAAGCTTAAAGATGTAGCTAAAGAAACAAGTCGACTTACTCGTTGGGTAATTGCAGCTTCTTCGCACTCTGCTGTTCGTTGATCTGATTATTCACGGTTGACATGGTGTAAAACATCGTTGCTAGTAAACGTGACAGCGAACTAGTGATTATCTCAATGATTTCGAACGACTGATGGTTCCTATTCTATTTCACTTGCTTTATATACCCGCACACGGCACTGAAAATAGCGCTGCCTAAGGATCTTTGTTCTAAAAATAGCGATGATGCTTTCTGATACCAATTTTATTACCCCCTCCAATTCTAAGAAAAATAATTATCGCCTTTGTGTAACCCCTGTAATCTGATACCAAACATTACCCTCTCCAATTCTAAGAAACGGCGCCCAAATGCTGCCCAAGAGCCTTTGTTCTAAAAATAGCGAACCAGTCTGTCAGAGTACTAAGATTTTCCTCTCGTAAGGTGAGACTGTCTTCCATCTCTGTAACAAATAAAAATTATTAAAATAAAAAATTATTAAAAATAAAAAATAAAAAATTATAATTTAGAGAAAATATTTTTTTTACCTATTTCAATTTGCACAGAGTGCAATCTTTGCGGTACGGCGGTACATGAAAACACAGGTGACACCAATTGTCTAGATTTTTCACATGTGCTAGTAACTAGTGACTGTTGCAAATAGTTTTTTTCCATACTTAACAATACTCTGTTCAATCTTTCTCGAATGGTGTTTATCACAACATTTATAGCATAATTTATATGCTCGACCGGCGTAGTTGTAGGTGTACCACTCACTGATTAGCGTCTGAGAGTGATAACCAAAGGGTACATCTTTTTCCGTATATTTCCGAAAATATTTCTTTTACCTATTTCAATTTGCACAGAGTGCAATCTTTGCGGTACGGCGGGGGCCCGTCGATGTGATCGCGCCGCCACGGCTGGTTATAGTGCTCGTTGCACCGACGGTATCCTCGCACTTCCGGATCCGCTCTTAAATGTTCCGGTAGCCTATCCCACACGTGATCCACAAACCGAGCAAACTTGCTCAGAAGATACACTTTCGGCACAAATTTTAATTCCTCCGCTGACAGGCTCAGAATGTCGCGTTCGTCCGAGAGCACGATGAACATTTCGACTGTTACCGCGACTTGTTCTTGATGGACCATATATACCCGCTTGTTGCACACGACACTAATTAAAAATAGCGATGGGTTAGAACTGCCATAGTATAACTACTCGAGTCGGGCGTGGACGAGCAGGTCGAGAGGCTGAGGTAGCGTTAGAGTTCACTATAATGATAAAGAAACAACTAAATCCATCTTAGAATACGGTTAGGGTAATATTTTTAAATAGTAAACTTACTAATTTCTGGTACTTCTGGATCTTGAAAAAGGTGAATAATGTTGGAGAGAAGTTCTCTGTTTCCTTTTATCGACAATGATGTTTGCTAGCAGATGCTGGGTAATAACTGTTTGTTAATCGGTGACACTGACTAAATGTCTATCAAAAAATTGATTGTTTGTCACGCATGAAAATCCAAATGATGGCACTAAGTATTTGAGCGATTGATGTCGTAACGACAAACTGACTGAACTGCACTAAGTTTCTTCGATGCCATATCAACAGGGATGTTTCTGACGATCCCTTGTCTGAATATTCTATAGTTGGGGATATAACAGGTCATGTTTTGGTTCTTAAGAGTTAATTACCATTTGGTTAACACTTTCTTTTGATCAAAGTTTTACAGATACTTTAGAGAAGCCGAGCTTCTTAATCCCTTTGATGTCTTTTTTCCCATATTTATTAAGGGATCGATCAATAGATAGAGGGTAGATAGATGAGCGGGGAGAAGGGGGAAAGAGGCAGGTATTGGATTGAACATAGCCCATATTAAGTATTGGATTGAACATAGTCCATATTACATAAATGTAATTATATAATATTACATAAATGTAAAATGAACCCTGATTCGAGTGGGCATATCTATTACGAACCAAGTCGTCCAAAATGTTTTTTTTTTTTTAGTTCTTGTTTCTGATTACAGTTGTCAAAATCTGAATCTTTGTTTGACTTCTTGGGAATAGAAACCGAATCTATGACGTTAGGATCTTTGTCTGCGGGTCTTTTTTGATATATATAGTGTCTAAAGTACATTTAGCAGTATTTAATAAAATCAATTTCATAGTATTAGTCATTATAATTTTTAATATTTATAGAAAAAAAGGGTATAAAGTTCAAATATTTAGTCATAATAAAATATAATGATTTTTGTCTTACCTTAACTGTATAAATGATATTAGTAATATATGTATGGTTGATTAGTATTTGTATTCCCTTTTTATATAAGGCTTTATTGATAGATATATAAATTTTCCTTTTCCTAAATAATTCTGAATAAAGCAAAAATAATAATAGGTTAAGTATGATATTAGTAATTGATAATTGATTTTTGACACGCCTTTTTACCGTTAGGAGAGGTTCGAATGGAACAGGAATCTGAATCGGGGGTCGTTCTTTGGGGATTGACACTGATAATGTTAGAAATTGTCGAAAGGTCAGTGACAGATTTAATTGCGTCATACCTCCTTTTCGAAGGAGGTGGAGGATCATCAGTTTGTCAGCATCCGAATCGCTGTAGTCCGAAACAATTTGCGAATTAGGATCAGAATTAGGAGATTTACTCACCCGGGTACCCTTGTTTGGGCCGCTTTAGAGATGGGTGCGAGGCATGGTGCGCACGTGGACGGGAAGGGTTAGAGAAATCCTGAATACGGCTGGCCATAATCGCTGCCTTGGATGTGAGCTCGACCTTATTTCAATCCAAGAAGGATTCCAAATAAGCAGATACAACTATCAACAGCTGAAAGATTACGTAACACTAACAAGAATCAGTTAAATTTTGTTTTCTTAGAGAAATATGCATCCGCACGCTATCACAGGTGGCGTCAGGCTCTCACGTAAAAGGAGTTTGGTCACATGGTCACAGTTTAGTCACGAACTATAAGAATTAATTTTAGTTAATTAATTAATTACGAACGTAAGAGGAGATGGCACCAATTCGGGCATGAACGATGAGGCGCCGACATGTTTAGCATATCTGTTTATCTGTATTAGAATAAAACATTAACAAACTTACAATTCTTTTTTCTCTTATTGTTAGACTCAGATGTATCTAGTTTATTTAATGTGCACTTGTTTTGGTGTTTTATCTGTGTAATAATCAAATAAACAAGGTAATCAAAGTTAGAATATTAAGAAATATATTTATAATAATATAAGTATACCTCATTCATGATATAATTACGATCACTTAATATTCTTCGAATTATGCTTCCTATTTTAGTAAGCTTCAATAGAGCATTTAGATTCCAAAATGTGCTAAGTAATATATAGTTCCAATTTTCTTTGTAACTAAAACATATTTTTAAAATGAGATTCTGTAGAATACGATTATAAGTTTAGGTTAACATATTTCTTATATATAGTTTGCAAATGTTACTAAAAACTACTTTTCCGGAAAAAATAGAGTTCTCATTGGATATCGCTCATTGCTCATTGCCCATCGCGTTTGGTGTGCAATGGTTCAGAGACGTTTCGCCACATGCATATCTGACGCCCTCTACCATATAATGTTACAGTCCGTGACATATCGGTAGCTTTTGTCGCAACTTATAAATAATTTTGAAACAAATTGGCCAAATACTTTTCTCTCCATGTTTGTGTAGTGTTTACTTCTACTTCTAGGAGCTTTTTCTTTGCATGACATTCTGTTAACAAAATAATAGTTTAATTACAAATAGCTTTAAATAAATAATTTTTAAATTAAGAATAAAATATATTCTAAGGCTGTAAATAATTCAAAATCAAAATTAAATAAGATGCAAACAATCAGAGCTAGATGATCACGTTTGTGTATTTGAAAATAGCTTATAAAAACAAAAATGTTTCAGCCTATGTTATCAGGCCTTTTTCAAGTTTATTTAAGTTTTACATAAATATATTTTTAACGTTAATTTACTAGTTTGACAATATTTCTTCAGATTTGATATATTAATGCTGCATTTTCAATTATTTTATAATAAAATATGTTAAGGATATGTGTTAAGGATCCATTGAAAATAATTACAATCCGTTGACATGATTTAAAATGTAATCTGCACTTTTATTCGCTGTTTTAATTGTAAAAGATTTTCAGGAAAATCAGAGACTCATTGACCAAGTTCTGAACATCCAGAAAAGTTTGATATGTTCGTTAAAGGTTAATGAACTCGTATTTTAACTTTTAACTGTTTATGTTTTATTTAATCATTTTGATTTTTATATAAATAGGTTTTACTTACATCGTTAATTATAATTTTCTTCTTTGATTATTTGATTAAATTATTATAGCTCCCTATTTGATTTGTGAAACACTGAAATTTGAGTCATGACTTAATAGGTGATTATAACGTAACGCAAAAGAAAAATATGACTTATCATTAAAGTTAACAATCTGATAAGTACAGTTACAACTACAAGTGTGGGTATTATGTGTATGTTACTCTTCGTAGGGACTAAAGAAATTTACATGGTATTGATATTCTAGAGGAAGCGGGGAAAGGGGGGAAGGTGGAAGTAGAGTGGAATATCTTATAGGTGAATTGCGACGAGTGGGTATCAAATAAAAGTCTGGAGGGAGGAGTTCGTCAGGAAGAAAATCTATTAGCCAATCATATTCAGGGAAGGGTTGATTTATAACATAATCAGGGAAGGGTTGATTTGGAGGTGAAACTCCAGGCTCAGGAGAATTATTTGTTCGAGGAATTCTACTGAAGGAGCTGGAGAGATGGAGTGGAGTCGAGGTGTGGGGGACGGAGGAGACTGTATGTCATGTCGGTTATTTGTGACTTGTCTCGATAGTGTGTGTATGTGTGATTGGTGTTGTGGAATGACGAGCGGAGCGACGGAGGCGGTTAATTCTAAATATAAAATACGGTGACGCGAGCGATATTATTCCGGAGATAAATAATAAATTTTTCAATGTTTGAATCACTCGAGATCGAGCCGGGCGTAAACGGCGGACGGGTTGAAAAGTTGAACTCAAATCGTAGTTCACTATAATGAAGAGAAAAAAAAACTGAACTGAATCTGGTTGTATAACTCGAGGGGGAGGGGAAATGTGTACAACAAAAGAAAGAAAATTTTGATAGAGGGACTTACTGGTTGAAGATTGTTGCGAAGTCTCGGAAGTCCACGTAGCGCTAATCGGTTTAGACTGGGAGGGGGCCTCTGGCTCCGGAAGCAAAATCAGCGGTTTTTCTCAGTTGTTGCTACTGATGGTAGTTGCCCATTTAACTGGCACGGTTTGGTTCACACTTTATGTACTTTCCTTTAACAATTTTTGCAAAACTGAATGTTAACTGCGCACTCTGAATTCTACCGATATATTAGTCGTCCGGAAAGGGCTGTCACGAGTTTTTATAATTGTTACTCCTCTCTTTTACATCCTTACTTAATAATTTTAGACGTTGGTCTAATGGAAAAATTAATTGGTCCTTTTAATCTCGGTGGGGCATAAAATGCTAACATTTAGAAGAATCTATGCATTCTATTGGTGATACGTGAGTATGGTAGGGTGGTTTCTTAGTCTTTACGCAGTGTAATTTGATTGACAAATTTTATGATTGCCCACACCTTCACAGTGCGAAATATTCGATTTGACAAACACTCGACCGGTGTCGACTTTTCTGATTGACATTATTTATGTTTGTGCGAAAAATTTTTTTAGCGGAGCTGATGATTTGATTGGTCTTAGCTTTAGAGCTGCAGGAAGTTTAAGTTGCGATGATTTAACATTCAATTTATGATGTCAGTTCTGTCAAAAGCTTAGATTTAAATATTGCTCCTGTAAGTTAAATGATAATTTTTGATTTGTTTGTCGGAAGCAGCGTGAAAGAGGCTTCGTTAGACTATGTCGACATTATTCAAACAGTTTAAAATTTATTACTTCCCGTGTTTGGGATACGGTTTCGTTTCTAATAAAATATAAACTCGCGAGAAAGAAAAGAATCGTGGAGTCCTATCAGGACGTAACAATAATAAAGGTAATAAAGAAATAATATATTTCAGATTTCTATTGTGCATACAAGCTTCTATTATTGCATTATCGATCATACTAATAAAAAATGCATATATTGATAAAAAAAAAGAGATAAAAAAATGAAAAACATTAAACGTATGTACTTATCATATACTCATACTAAAAAGACAAATTGTGACATAAGATTACAGCTTATACTTATATGTATTTAATAAATTGT